CTTCTAACCTTCTTCGGGAAACATACAATGACCTGACTAGGAACAGAGAGCTTACTAAAGCTATGTTCACTAATTGTAGTAAGTAGACAGGATACAGACGAAGGGTATACAAAACCCTTTATTTTTCTTTATATACAATGACTTCCGTACTTCGGAATACAATGACCCTCCACTCGGGGTCTAACGTAAAAGTATAAAAATAAAACTAAACTCTAATTTAACTTTAGAATAAGATTGGCCTTATAATAACAGGAAGCGTATGTAGCACAGAGACTGTGAACACTACAATACGTTTAATTTATCAAGAGGATTAAAACCTCTGGCCTGGAAGGCAAATAGCAACTGCGTAACTTCTAAGGTAAGCGGCCTGCTTCGAACTCACTGCTTCCTCTCTCTGCTTGGCAAAAAGGCCACACTTAAATACTTGGCGTTCGCCAGACAACTTTGCATAAAATCCTTCACGCTTATAATTCTGGCCGGAAGTAGAAAATAAGAAGTGATAGTAAAGATTTAAAATAAAATAAACGTTAGTAAAACTTAAGATCCTTACAATTTGAGGTAAAGAAGCAGACTGGTTGGCTGAGTTTGTATCAATAAGCAAGTCTCCGTAGCGGAGAGGCTTTATATTTCTCGGCTCACCAATACAAGAATGAATATATTTATTTATTATGAAAGGAGACATCTTCTGCAGCTCGCCAGAAGGACTAGAGATAACTAGGAAACGGGGACTACTAGTAGGATTATTTGCATTTGCATCTGATCGTATTTTTTTTGCAGTAGAATTTTCAGGACTACATGAGTGACTGGTTTAGCCAGTTCTGTCTACATGAGTGACTGGTTTAGTGAGTTCTGTCTACATGAGTGACTGGTTTAGGAGTAGACTTTTCAGAATTCGGTTGAGTGACAGGAGTGACTTCAAAATCTTTTATGAGATAAATATGAGAGTTTGCCATATTGAAGAGAGAAAAGATTCGGGTCCGACGGCCCCGCCCACCACGGAGCCCAACAAAGGAACAGTTACTGTGTTAGGGCTAGCCGGATCTATACGCAAACTGAAGCCCCACAGTCGGCTTTCCCGAAAGCAGGTACTCCCGAGAGCTTGACCCCAAGCCACTGACACAAGGACTAGTGACCAGCTGATTGACACCCGTGAGGACGACTAAGGTGCCTCCCGTTTAGCTGAAGAAGAGGCCAAAGCAGTGTGTTGGGGACAGTACCTCGCCCCTCAACTACCAGGACCCTCCTTTCCGGCGACACGGGTCTCCACGCACGGCAAACACGTGGGCAGTTTTCCCGCCACTCGACAGCTAGAGACAAAGTCTGTTCCAGTCTCTAGTGACGGGCCCCAAACCCCGTAGAGAGAAACCACAAGGGAGAAGGGAAGGGAAAAAGTTCCAGCCAAGAGGAGAGGAGACGGAAAAGAGGATAGATCACTAAGGCTCCAGGATCGTGACACCCGTCTCATCAAGAAGATGATCCCCTGAAGGGCTAGGGTATCTCGGGATTGCCACACCCGTACTCACAAGAGTGAGCCCCCTGAGGGGCTTGGTTTGGTTAATACTCCTTGCTATTTTGTCAGTTCCATGTCTACATGATGCATCGGCACATCATATTTTATTATAACTTTATTTTATGCTTTGATATTTCTGACAAGTATAAAATGAAATCGAACTAAGAACTCGATTTAACGAAAATGCGTAACTGAAGTAACTTTATGTACCATTGCATCATGACTTCATTCAGTGCTCCTACAAGCTTCACTATGGTAAGAAACGGTATTACAGAAACAGAACAGCTTCACTCTCTTTATATGCATTTAACATTTTGACAGTATCGGGTTTCCTTAAGGTTAGAGGAAAATTAATTTAATCTTCCTTTCGCGTTACAGTCATGCACGCATAAAAATACACGGCTTGTACGGAAAATAGTAGGACTGATTTTTTTAAAATTATTATTCAAAAATTTGATACATCGACTTAATAGTTTTCAAAATATGCCCCTTCTACATCAACACAGCGTTTTTCCAGTCACTGAAGGTTCATTGGAACGCTGAAACTGGAATGCTCTTCAGCTCCCTCGGTACAACCTTTTGAATGGCCTGGACGGAGCCATTGTGCTGTTCTTTCATGACCTTTTAAAGTTGGGGAAAGAGGAATCCATGTTTGGTTACGAATTCCATGACAACAAAGGCGGTGTAGCTCGGAGCATTGGTCGTGATGGAGCATCCATGAGCCAGAGATTGTTGGAAGGACGCGGGCGACTTTCTGTGTCTGAGGCGGTAACAGTTGAAAGATTTCGCACTTTCGCTAAGTTTTCGTCACATTTTTTTGGCCTTTGAAAGGTGTCCTGACCATTGCTAATCTTCAACTTGCTTTCTTACCTCTAGAAACAAATTGTGCCACTCAAAAACACTTGATCGACCCATGGCTTTACTATCATAAGCAGTTTTAATCAAAACATGGGTCTCACTCGCAGGTTTATCCAGTTTGGAGCAAAACTAATTCTTCACCACTTTAACAAACGGTTCATAATGGAGATGATAAGGAATCTTGAAAGGGGTTCACCTTAAACTCGATCTATACTCCGTGAAGGCTTGGAGACAACAGGCGACTGGTGCGGTGGTAGCTAAGATCCTCTACAACTCAACAAGCGCAGTAACACCCCCTTCTTCACCCCATTTTAGCAGGGAATAAATCAGTCCTACTACCTCCCGGAAAAACCTTGTATATCCTTGCTATGCAATTTCGGTGATATTGAGTTGTTTTTTTGACATGGATTGGGGAGCAGATTTAGTTGCTATAGCATACTGTTTATGTAAATGCTTTGGTTTTTTAAACCTCCTGCCAACCTTTTACCTAGGTAAGAGAGGAAATGCTTTCTGTCCAAAAAAATCAATAGTTAATTTTGATTCAATAAGTACGAATTAGGGTCCAAACAAGATGTTTTGATTATTTTTACAATGATTTCTCTGTCGGTGTATGTGTGATGATTTTTCCTTGAACGATATATCTTATATGAAACTTTCAAAAATTTCCATTTTTCGTATTTAAGCTTTCTACATTCGTATAAATAGTTTATTAGATTTTGGTAAAATTCTACAAACAGAAGCGGTACTTTATATGAAGCAAGTAAAATGTAAACCGGAAACAGCATTTTATTTAAAGCCCATAAGAGTTTTTAATAAAAATCTCTATTAGAATGCAATACAAAACTTTTAAATTTTAGTGTTAAAGACTTCTAACTTTAACACTAAAATCAGGCAGGAGATTAAAAAAAAAAAAAAAAAAAAAAAAAAAAAAAAAAAAACCAAAGCATTTACATAAACAGCATGCGATATAGTAACTAAATCTGCTCCCCAATCCATGTCAAAAATCAACTCAGTATCACCGAAATAGACATTTTGACTTAGAATGATAAATCAGCGGAGATACTTTACTTAAAATTCTGAACAGATTTTCCTGAAAACATATGAGATAATCGAAAACTTCGCAAATTTGGTACTTAAAACATGTATATGATTGACAACAGCATGTTATCGCTATGTATAATTTTTAAAGAAATAATACTGTAAATGTAAATAGTATAGCGAATAAAAAAAAGCGTATGGCAAAAAATGTAGCACAACATTTAACACACTATCGAGAATTTTAATATGATACTTTATAAAGTATTTTCTTCCTCCTTATCAGGTGCCATCGGAGTGTAACTGGAAAGCACGTCCGGTTAGCAATCGGAAGGTCCGAAATTCTAAGCTGGATGAGGGCATAGTGCATTTTTCGCATCTCCTGCTTCAAAACAACTTAACGACTCTACAACTTTTAAAAATTTTTTTATTGTTAAGTCATTGATTTGTGACCGCGAAACTTTCTATCACTAGAGGATATATACTATGACCAACACGACATTTTCAAATAAAAGTATGAGAACGCATATGTACATGAGCACATCATTATCAGTAGTTGTTATTTTGCATTGTATGGGATAAATGAATAATAAAAAACGAATAGTATTTTTAATTAATTAACAGTAAGCCATAAAAGTGTGTAAACATATTAAATTTTCATAAAAGTGTGTAAACATATAACTTTTATTTATAAATAACTAGTTCAATGCTTTAAATAGCAATAAGCTTTATATAAAGTATTTGATACTTTCCTTCAAGCGCTTTGTTATTTAAAACGTTGAACTGGTGCACCATGTGCTGGCCATACCAGATTTTTTTTTTTTTTCCCTTTTCCACGAGGCGCTGAATATATGGACATATGAAACTATAACAACTTTTAAATTTAAGCTTATTAACAGCCACTCACCATAAGTGTTTTTTTTTTTTTTTCATAACACCCAAGCAAATGTTTATCACCAGAAACGAATAAGTACAGCTGTTCATTGTTACGATTTGATTCGTTTATACTAATACCTTGTTCGATAATTCCTAAGAAACAGTTTCTGCTCTAGTTGCGCCATAGAGTAGAAACCGGAAAAATACTAAACAAAGCGCTTTTAACGAAGTTTTATCATCTATATAAAAATAAATGCGTTATGAACCGTGAAATAAGCTGCAGCATTAAAAATTTAGTTTACATATTTTATACATTATACCACTTATTATGCTGAGGAATAGTTCCGTTTACAGCGCTATTTAGTTGCTGAATGCTTCTACAATATCATCGGGGTGAGTACGATTGTAGTTAAGGTGTAGGTGCCTCATTACTGAGGCGTGATAGCAACGGGTATTTCAAGTGCCATTTCTTGATTGAAGAACCATTCAGAGGAAGCTTCATACGTTACTGGCAATGATAGGAAAATATGTTTTTAACAGCGAAAGATTATAAGTATAGTTCCCGATTTACAGAACAAAACATGCAGAATATTTATTTCACTTCTTTCGCTATAATGATTAACATTTATTTTTACAGTTATCAGGATTTAGTTCCTTTTTGCAAATGTATACTCCCCCCCTTCCCTAGTACCAAACATTTTCTTTTATGTTCTAATTGCAGTGCTCCAGTCGTTGTGATGGTGGTTCCCGCAAACGCGAGGCAGTTTGTCTGGACACAGTTTCAAAGCACGTAGTCGTTGAAGAACTCTGCGACCCCTATCGGAGGCCGGATACACTTGAAGCGTGTAACACAGAACCCTGCTTAGATTGGATAATTTCCGAATGGAGCGTGGTGTGTGATTTCAGAATTTCTGTACACAAGAAATATGTTTCGAAGTTAGATTTTCCAGTTTATAATCAGTAAATCATTAAATAATCTATGTTCTTTTCCTTCCTTCATTTCAGTGTTCAGCGAAATGCAATGAAGGCGAAATGCATCGAGAAGTTACCTGTCCAAAGAGTCACCACTGTAATCCAGACACTAAACCCGAAGAAAAAGCCAAATGCATTTTGAGACCATGCATTGATTGGGTAGAAGGACCATGGAGCAAGGTGACAACAAATTTCGCATTAAAATATGTCTAAAAAAGTATTATTTCATTTGTTTTAACTAGATCAGCTATAAAAAATCATCTGAAATTATACATTGAAGCTTTATGAACTCTGAATGTATTCTTGTAGTAGTTTCGAGTAGACAAAAATTGCGTTTAGATTGACTAACACAGTCAGGGTTTGATTTGCAGAAGTGAAAATAGGAATGTGCGCTCAGCATGGTGATTCATGTTTTTCAACAATAGTTAAAAGAGTTAAAAATTGAAATATTTTTTAAAAATTCCTTATTTTCTACTATATATAATTTGAAGCATAGGCAGGATTCTTAATTTCATACTTTAGATTCCTTATGTCTTTCTTCAAAAGTCGGGAGCTAAATCATTTCTTTATACTTTGTCTTGTATGATTGTCTTCTACCGTCACTAGCGATTGATATCGTTTCGCAAAGCCTCGGTTTTTCAGTCTCCACACTTGAAACTCATGACACTTTGTGAATATAAGGGTCTTTTGATTGATCATAGGCGTGGTCGAGGGTGTTCAAACAGTTTTAGAATGGATTCACGGACCTTTAACGAATGCTTAAATTGTAAAGATTATTTTTTTAAATGTTTCATTTGATAGCTTTTTTTTTTTTTTTCTTATACTGTAAGTGGCTTCGTGATTTTTGTGACAGAAAGGCTTTTCGTAAAATTTTCGGCGGTATTGATTTCCGTTCCTCTTCCACTACTTGCCAGAGTCCATCCATCGTGGTGGCTTTGCGCTTATAAAGAGCTCTTTCTAAGAAAATGTGCAACAGTGGATACGTGAAACACAAGGGGACTTCGCAAGAATACGTTGAAAAGGTATATATGCAGTAATCCTATGAGTCTTCATTTTTTCATGGAATGCATGGTACATTTCGAAGTATGACTTGTTGCCTTGTCTTGATGAAGTTTCACTCTTTGAAAGTCATTGGGGTAAAGAAATGAAATGGGCATAAAATCTTCATACTACGTTGAGCTGGTTTTCTTCCCCTGTAAAAGAATACTGCGGCAATCATAAACCCCTTACTGAAACATCTTTTGTATTGACGGCACCAGGTTTTTACATTTTATTCTCTTCGTTTTCGATAATAAATACACCTTTTTTGTTTGCATTTTTATCCTGATAAATAGTTTTCATAGAGTGTTCTACAAACCGTTCTGCATTGAGTCACATGTCTCGGCAAACGCTGGTGAACATTACGTTTTTTACCGTTTTTAAGTTGTAAATCTTGATTTATTATTTCATTGCTACAGATGCATTTAAAGACTTTGCAATTGATTTCTGCATCAGCAGACTTTCTCTTATCAACGGGTGTTACAAACGGTTTAACTTTAGAAACATTAGAAGCAGTACGTACCCTTTTCGGGTATTCGCTTTGAGTCTTCGTCCCATGCAGAAGCAACGACTGACGGTTTTTCCCTTTGTGATTAATAATGTTGCTTATTTTGCACTTCAAAAATTTAATACCAAGCTTTTCACAAAATTTCTTAATATGGAATATGAATATTTCACTTTGGGAAGCACAGAAATAATATTCTTCAATCCGCTGTTTGTTTACCTGGAACATTTTGAAAGAACAATAAATTTAAAAGTAGCATATTATATTTTTCATTATATTTTCATTATATTTTTCATATATATTTCATTATATATACATTTCATTATATTTTCATATTGGTTAATAAATAAATTCTGAATAACTGCTAATTTTTTCACTCAGTTTTATTATATTTTAGTGTTCAACCACTTGCGGCGATGGTGTCCAAATACGGCATGTTAAATGCGTCAACCTGACTTCTCAAAATCCAGCCACCGGATGTTCTTTGGAGCTTAAACCTAATCATCGACAGCCTTGTAATCTCGATCCATGTCCGGAGAATAAATCGGGTATGTAGGGTGTTTTATGTATGCACCGTTTCATCATATCTAATTTTCTCTTTTTACTGAATGGAAAAAAAATTTTAATTGCCAAAATTTTGTTTTCGCAGAAGTGCTTTCAATCGCTGAACAAATCGCATTCTTCAGCTGCATTTAATTGAAAGCACGAACAAAAACAGAGTGCAGTACCCGACGCTTATTCAAATGTCCAGAAATCAAAAAATAAATATACACTAATTAATAGCAAAACAATCGTTTATTAAATTCATCTCCGCCGCTTATTAAACTTAGATTGGCAAAAGACCGATTCTTCAATGCCAGAATAACCTACTTGTACCTTTCAAAAGGTTAACAAAAGCAAATCTCTGGAAACATTAAAAATGAGTGAGGGCACCTTCTCGAATACCAGATGATAATAAGTTCAACTTCTTTATCCCATCTTTTAAGGTTTCCACCTACAAAATCCACCGCTTGACACAGATATATTATGTTCTTAGAGAGCTTTAAAGAAGTTCACGAAATGGTTCTAAGCATTCAATGGAATGGGAGTGGTAATTGTAGGCTGAAGAGAAAGTAATAAAAGTATCTGTCATGCTTGTAATAATGGAGTGGAAGATCTATTAAATACAAAATGGGCAAAATTTCTGCTGACTATGAAATGGAAGATCGACAAAGCAGACAAAGGGCAAGCTTTCTACTGGCTAGAACTGTAAATTTGGAAATATGAATAAATCACTGGAAGAATTTTTTTAAAAATTTGCTGTGTGCTTTAACTTATAACTGGCCGAAATGTCGAGCGAAAAGATTTAAGTCTGAAAAAAAATTGTTAAAAGATTTTAATATTCTTGGAAATTAATTACAGCCAGACGAGAACTATATTTAACGTAGGAATTTCTCAATACCATTGTGCAATTTACTTAAAAAGGAATTATAATTAATGAAGAAATGATACAGCATGCAAGTATCTCCAGGAAGCAGCGAACAGACAAAAAGTCGAGAGAAGTTGTGAACTGCTTTTATAGAATTTTTTCAGGCTATAAAGATAAATAATGTTTCCATTTCTAAAGCTTTATCACTAATTCACTAAATGCGAGGAGAGGATTTTATACCAACTGACATATAGCTCATAAGTTTGAAAAGAGAAGTCCAACATTATTCATCAGAAAATGCATGATGAGAAGAAACGGATCACCATGCAGCTGAACTGGATAAAAGACATTTTCTTAAGCTGCTAAATGAAACGTCGAGTTTATAATACAGACGAAACTGAACTGCGTAACAGAAAGTTGTAAGAACACATATTGATATTTAAAAGTGAAACAGCAGTTGGTTTAAGAAACGGAAGGAATTTACTGTTTTATTAATGTACAATATAGACACAGCATTTAAGCAGACAGCATTGGTTATTTATAAAAGCAGAAACATCTTGATGACTGAAAGAAATATAAAATTTACTGCTAATTTACCATAACAACAAGAACTCATGGATGACGAGTAGTAGTTTTGCTGATTTTTTAAAAGGGACAGCAAACTGAGAAATGAAAAACATAGCTTTATTATTTAGATAATTGTGCAGCTCACACATCTCTCCCTGAAAAACATTAGTGTCTCTTTCTGCAAATACAACTTTTAACATTCAGTCCTTCAGTATAGGGTATCATAAGCTTTCACATGATACTATACGAAAGATGTTTAGTAAATGATGAACAGAAATAATTTTATAAAAATGCATGTACATCGAAGGAGGTAAGTAAGTCCATATCTCTTAGAGGATATGTATACAGGGTGTCTCAAAAGGTTATTACCAATCTTAACACACTAGTCTGTCATACCATAACAAACAAGATTTACACAGGAACTTGTGTCCAAAAATGCGAACGGAGACAGCTAGAGGGCAACATTCGCAAACTTATGGGAGAATGGAAGCGGGATCATTTTCAGGCTAGGACATTGCAGGACAAGGATAAATCGGTTTACTAACTCAGAATTTGCTGATATGTATTACTCTAATGTTGCCGCGGGCGAGTTGCATGACCACCGCAAGCCTTCGACCTGACTCCCTTGAATTTCTATCTGTGGGGATAGATGAAGTCCAATGTATATGAGACGACCAACATCGAACATAAATCTCGAAGCTAGGATCGTGGAAGCGGCAGCATGTGTCCGTAACAGACCTGCCCATTTTGAACGTGTCCGTGAAACCGTGCGTCGACGATGTGATATGCATTGTGGCAAATGGAAGGAGTTTTGAAAATCTGCTGTGAACCATGTTCTTTAATAAAAATCATATTAAAACCTATTTGGACTTATTTTCTTTCTCTCCCTCTTAGACCTGCGAACTTGCCTTCTAGCAGTCCTCGTGTGCATTTTCGGGCGCAAGTTACTATGTAAATCTTGTTTGTCATGGTACGACAGACTAGCATGTTAAGTTTGGCAACGATCTTTTGAGACACCCTGTATTAGAGTCCATGCAAGGGATTAATCTCCAAGCTAATGTTTCAGATATCAGTAACAGAAGTTAAGAGATTCGTTTTTAAAATATGTGTAAATTCAAAACAATGATAAAACACAATAATAATAATAACTGAATATGAAAGTGTTAACTACAGAGACTGACCGCGAAAGTGATAGAGAAAAAATACGATAATATACCGTCATCAATCAAAAATCACTGGAAGTACTTGAACTGAAAGAAGATTCCTGAACGCGAGTAAAAAAGCTTCCAACAGTTTTACGAAGCTGAGAATGAAATTAAAAAACTGTTCCTGAATAATTTGAAACAAACACGTAAGAGACTGAATTTCACCAAGAACGTAATTATAAAAGTACGTTTTATAAAAATAAAATAAAATAAATAAATTTTAAAATTGCGTAAATATTTTTCAGTATTAATTTCAGTATTAATTTTTAATTATTATTTTAGGATTGAATTAGTCAATTAATTGTTAGTTATAATTTTACTTGAAGAGTTTAAAATTGTTATCACAATTTGCAGTATACAAATCTCTGTTCATTAAACTCAGCTATTTAATAAATTCGGATGTATTTTGGAACTGAAGTGATTTGAATAAGCGGCAGGTACTGTAATGGATTTTTAAATACTTACTAGTAGTCGGACGTAACACTGGACATCATTGATAGCGATACTAGTAAGCTCTGAAAATTCGTCAGTTATTAAGTTATAAAAAATTGATTGCTCTCCTTCTCTTTGTGGTACTTGTTTTCATTTCGTTGCGGATGAAGAAAATAACAATGTTTAGTCGATGATGAAAAAGACAACTGTAAAAATCCTTCTATTAAAATAAAATCTACGCCATTAATATAGTTTTTCTTACGTTCGGTTTTACTTTTTAGTACTAAAGGTATTTATTATTAGTCTCGATCCGTACTTTGTTGTCCATAACACTTCTGTGTCCCTATCACTTTTTAAATAAAACGTTGTTACCAACAAATGTTATCACTATGTATTATTTTCTAAGGAATAATATATTGAATATAAAAAGTATGTCAACACAAATAAGAGGATGTTGCCACCAAATGTTATGGTCTTGTATTATTTTTAAAATAACAAAATGAATATAAAAATACATATGACTTTTTTCTATGAGGAATTCCAAAAATATGCTGCTTTTAAAGTATTTTGCAATTTTCCGTTGCATTTTCTTAAGCGCAAATGCGAAGAAAATTATATTTAATAATAGTTTAATAATTTTTAATAATCTAAAGTTTGAAAAAACCAAACTTTAATAATAAAAAGGCAGAAAAAGTTCCGTAAGTCATCTTACTAAGAAAAAATGAACATTGATATAGTAAACGAGAAAAAACAGAAAGTATTAATAGCAACACTTAACACTGCATCAAAAATTCTAAAAATATGCTGCTTTTCAAAAGATGGTGATTTTACTGCTGAATTTTACGTCGCAAAAATGCAAAGAAAATTTTTACGCAAAAAAAAGTGATATTTAATAATGAAGTTAAAAAGAAAAAAAAAATTGTGTTAGCAGAAGCCATCCAAAGTAGATTGGTTAATTGCGAGCTGATCGAAAGCATAAAACTCAGCAAACCCTTTGAAAAAGCATCAAATTCAGCAAAACCTTTGGAAAGAAATTAAAATCTGAATCTTCTCAGAATTTTTTCGTATGTGTAATTTTCTCTCATTCTTTCTGCAGTTTCTCTTCGGCTATTTCTCGAAGTATCAGGATATATTATAAAGGTTTGTAACAGCTATGACTAAAATATTATCTCGTATGCTCAGATCATGAACTAAAAATTTCTTAAATTCAGATTGATAATCTGACAAAAAATACAGTGCTGGCCATTAAAATTGCAACACCACGAAGGAATGATTTGATGAACGTCAAAATCACATAAAAGGAAGAAGTTGGGATATACAAATGTAGATTATTCTTTGCGTGATACCGTCCGTCGAACTAGTCGGCACCCAGCCACTGTCATGTGAATATGGAATCAATTGCTGAGGTTCATACTGAACGGCATGCAGGACCTCAATGCCCTCCCATGACTAACGCAAGAGAGGACAGACATATTGTGAGGTCAGCCCTGCAAAACCGTACGATCACATCACGGACTACTAGTCAGGAAATGGTCATGTTTTCAGCACGCTCAGTATCAGTTCGTAAGGTGCATCGACGTTCGCAGCAGCGTGGACTATCAGCATGGAGACCACGCAATGTTCCAACAACATAATGGAAGTCCACATGTTGCACGTCGTGTTCTGACCTTTCTCGATATACAGGGTATTCGAATGGTGCCCTGGCCTGCAGGGTCTTCAGACCTGACACCCACTGAAAACAACTGGTCATATGTTGCTGAGAGACTGGCCAGCCACCCGTCTCCAACAAACACGGTTGATGAAGTGTCGCACAGACTTGAAGCAGCATGGAATGAATTGCCCATTTTTCATCCAAGACCAGTATGACACCATGCCTAATGTTGTAAATGCCATTTTAGCTGCCAGGGGCGGCAGTTGTTTCTACTAATTTCGCATC